TGATTCCGTTAGTATTCTCACAGTAATTAATTTAAGTTGATAAACAAAATTTGAATCCTTTCAATGAACCGAGAGCTGCCAACTATAGATGGACAAGAATCAACGAGTTTACAACCCAGGGTCGGGGGGCGAAATGTAAGCCCTGGCTTTACAAATGGACATGAGTTTTTCAGAGGCAGTGTTTCTCCAAGTATGTCAGACCTATCGGTGGCGCCTGTTAAGAAATATAACTTCCTGGGTGACATACCAAACCTACCACGCCCAGGTCTCTGAGGGTGGAGTATGGGAATCATTTTTAACCAGTCCCCAGATTATTCTTATGCCTATTGCTTGAAAACCACTGATATCCTGTAACTGCCCTGGGCAGTTATAAAGGGAAATGACATTTGTTCATCAGTAATTATCTGTGTTATCATTCCAAATAAGTTCTCATCTTGGAATCAGTAAAAATCAACTAGAGAACTTCATGTAAATTGCAAAGTCCTGATTATGCCCCAGTAATTTCTTATTTAGTGGGCCCAAGAATATACTGTGTATGTGTGTACATGCTGAGGTTAAAATAGGTTTGGGGATGCAAACACCTCAGGATAAATTGAGTAATGAGAGCTTGTGCAAGAACCTACATTCTGTATGGCTGGGCTATTTAAACCTTAAAATGAAAATAATAACACTTACCACACAGGATTAGTAGTTTGATTCATTGATTTTAAATAAATATATACCCCCACTTCTGTTTCTCCCAACCTCCAGCCCCTACCTCTGGCAACAATCACCAATCTGTTCTTTGTATTATGAGCTTGTTGTTTTTTATTTTGCTTTGTTTTTTAAGATTATACATATTGGAGAGATCATATGGTATTTGCTTTTCTCTGTCTGACTTATTTTACTAGCATAATGTCCTTGAGGTTGTAACAAATGGCAACATTTCATTATTTTTTATGGCAAAATAACGTTCCATTATATATATATATATACTAGATGCCCAGTGCACGAATTCGTGCACTAGTGGGATCCGGCCGGCCTGCCCCAATTCAGCTGGGGAGAGGGGACACAGGAGGTTGGCTGGCTGGCCCCGCCCCCCTGGTTGAACTCCCGATCGAGGGGACAATTTGCATATTAGCCCTTTATTATATAGGATATTCCATTATCCTATATAATAAAAGAGAAACATGCAAATTAACCGTCACTCTGTCACTCCACCACTCTGCTACACCCACCAGCCAATCAGAGTGACTATGCAAATTAACCCATCAAAGATGGCGGTTAATTTGCATACACAGCCGCAGAGTGAAGACTGAAGACAACTGAAGATGGCGGCGGCCAAGGAGCTGGAGCAAGTAGGAGGCTTGGTTTGCTCCCGGTGATGGAGGAGGCCAAGCTTCCTGCCGGCCCTGGACGCCGCTCAAGGAGTGGCTGGGGGCCTGGGTCACTGGGGGCGACCCAGGCTTCCAGCCCGCCCTGGCCTCCACTCGAGGAGCTGGAAAGAAAAAAAAAAAAAAGAGTGGCTGGGAGCAGCCAGAGCGGAGAAGCCAAGCCTCGCTGCTGCGGCCGGACCAAAGGCCTGGGTCCCGGGTGCCGGAGGAAAACCGGTGCCAGCAACCAGGGGAAGGAAGGCCTATTGCACAAATCTTCGTGCAACGGGCCACTAGTATATATATATTCCATTATCTATATACAATTTCTTTATCCATTCATCCGTCAATGGACACCTGGGTTGTTTTCATATCATGGCTACTGTAAATAATGCTGCAATGAACATGACAATGCATATATCTTTTCGAGTTAGCATTTTTGTTTTCTTTGGATAAATACCCAGAAGTGGAATTGCTGGGTCATATAATAATTTTGTTTTTAATTTTTGAGACATCTATGTACTGTTTTCCATAGTGGCTACACCAATTTACAATCTCACCAACAGTGCATAAGGGTTCCCTTTTTTCCACATCCTCTCCAATATTTGGTATTTCTTATCTTTTTTATGATAGACATGCTAACAGGTATGAGGCCATATCTTGTGGTTTTGATTTGCATTTCTCTGATGATCAATGATATTGAACATCTTTTCATGTGTCTATTGGCTCTCTCTATGTCATCTTTGGAAATGTCTTTTCAGATCTTCTGCTCAATTTTCAATTGGATATTTTTTGCTATTGAGTTGTATAGGTTTTGTTGTGTGTTTTTTTTTACATATTTTTAATATTAGCACATTTTCAGATATATGATTACAAATATATTCTCCCATTCAGTAAGTTGCCCTTTCATTTTTGTTACTGGTTTCTTTTGCTGTGCAGAAGTTTTTTTTTTTACTATAATGTAGTCCCACTTATTTATTTTTTCCTTTGTTGCTTTTGATTTTGATTAAAAAATAATTGCCAAGACCTATGTCAAGGAGATTACCACCATATTTTCTTCTAGGAGCTTTATGATTTCAGGTATTACATTCAAGTCTTTAATCTATTTTGACCTAATTTGGGGGCATAGTATCAGATAGTGTTCCAGTTTCATTCTTTTGCATGTAGCTGTCCAATTTTCCCAACACCATTTATTAAAGAGACTGTCCTTTCCCCTTTGTATATTCTTGGCTCCTAGTTGTAAATTAATTGATCATACATGAATGGATTTATTTCTGGGCTCTCTATTCTGTTCCACTGATCTATGTGTCTGTCTTTATGCCAATACCATACTTTTTTAATTACTACCATTATGTATTATTTTTTGAAATAAGGGAGTGTGATGCTTCAAACTTTGTTCTTTCTTGAGATTGCTTTGGCTATTCAGGGTTTTGTGTGGCTCCATAAAATTTTTAGGATTATTTGTTCTATTTCTTTGAAAAATGTGATTGATATTTTGATAGGGATTGCATTGGATTTATAGATTGCTTTACATAGGATAGACATTTTAACAGTATTGATTCTTTCAATCCATTGAATATTTCTTTTTACTTATTTGTGTCTTCTTCAGTTTCTTTCATGGAGCCCAGGAATATACATTTTTAATATGCATACTTGCTAGTGATCCTCATGCAGTTGATTGGAGGATAACACCTTGAAAAGTACTGACCTGATGAATGGCAGTTGGCTGTAACATCTAGGATTCTCTGTAGGATGTAGCAGTATTTACAGAGTGTTGTTTTATTAGAAATTATAGCAATATGATGAGATTCAGACAAGGCATATCATATAATGCAGCTAATTCATTGATTTATTTTGACTCACCATAATCATTTATTACTTGGATCAGAAAACTCAGACTTTTTTAAGTGGACTATTTCATTCAAATATGTCCTCTCATTTGAAATAATAAGTCAATATATAGAATATAGATTGAGACATTATTTCTTGAAATAATTATCTCCTATAACAGTAATACTGTAAATTAGTATTTGGGTGCTGTTCAACATTGCATTGGTTGTCTAAAAGTACAATATGGTGTGAAGCATCCTCTGCCTTTTAGAATCACAAAAATAAATAAATAAATAAATAAATAAATAAATAAATAAATAAAAAAGAAAATCTGTGTATAGCAGCTTACATCAGACGTGAGGAACCCCTTTGCTTTAAGGGTGGACACTGAAATCACCTTCCCCTTCTTACTGTCAAGTGGCCAAAAATCATTACAGGCCAAAGTCAAAGACGCCACAGAACCTTAAATAAATATTTTGTGAATAAAATCTATCAAGCAGATTCAAAACAAGAGCCTTCTACAAATTTAGTTATTTTTAGAATTGAAGTAACACCCCATGGAAAAGGCTGACCCTTTGCAGAAAAATAGTAGCTTAGAGATAGAATATATGAACTTGCCAAGCAATATGTGGATTTAATTTCCTTCTCTGATCAGCTTCATAACACTCCCATCATGGCCTCTGAACATGGTCTTGCCTGACACAAACGAGGCATGATTCCTCTGACACCTGAGATCAACTACTTATTACCCAAAGAAAAGCCTGCGGTAGATCTCTAACAGAGAGAAGAAGCCTGCTACTAAGGATCAAGGAATAGATGAAAACGTTCTTTGGTGGTTCAAGAGTAGAAGAGGACTGTCTCTGCTACTCTATTATGATTAAAACCACAGGTGAATTTTCTCTGCCCTTAACCTTTCTAAACATTCAGCCTTACATTTCTTTCCCCCCGCTGTTAACATATCATACCAATATTACAGTAAAATTCCATTTTACCAAAATAGGTTGGGACCAAGATCATTTTATTAAAATCATATTTCCTGACAAGATGGAAAACACCAATTTAATTTAAGAACTTCTGTGTGGAGGCGAAAGTAGAGAGACCTGGAGCCAAGTGAATAATTGTAATGAAAGCTGAAGCTGCCACTGCTCCTCCCTTGGCCCTTTATAAATTAGAATATTTTAAAAAATCAATTATAATTCCATAAAAGGTTCATGAGCTCATGTAATTATCTTACTAGGCAATAACTGCCATTTATATTAGAAAGAGACGATATAAAATTTGTATTTGTTTTAACCATTATAAATGTGCTTAATTTGTTTCCAATTATCTTTGTGTTACTAGGACATCTTGTTAATCTGGCCAGTTAAACATGTTGTTTTGAATGTATCCTCATGAGACTTTGTAAAGCCTGAAAATTTATATAGGCTGGTAATTTTGCACTGAAAACAATATTTTCCAGCACAAAATGGAACCACCAACGTGTATAAACACAGAGATGCCTCATAGAGGAGGAGGGGATGGAGCCGGACATATTTAATTTACTATCACTCCTCCACTCTGCAGGAAAGTTCAAAACACACTTTTTCCTGGTTATTAGAACTGACTTTTTCAAATGTTTATCAAATTATGACGAGCAGGAATGATCCCAAACGGACTTTGAATTGCATGAAATTAAGCAAATGCTCTTGGGATGCCTTCTTTAAGTGACGTTACAACTAAAACCCATTTTTGAGAATTACAATGAAACAAGTCAGTGAGAACAAGCACAAGATGCTGGTGCTGGTGATGTTTGTATATTGATTTATATTCATGTTTCAGCTGTTTGAAAAAGTCAAAGAGGTCTGTCCCAACGTGCAGGAGAAGATCAGAGCGGTTTACGCGGACCTCAACCAGAACGACCTGGCCATCAGCAACGGGGACATGCAGGAGCTGCTCTCCTGCACCAACATCGTCTTCCACTGTGCCGCCACCGTGCGCTTCGATGACCACCTGAGGTACTTCCTGTTCCCCTCTCGAGGCTTGTATGGATATGTGTGTGTGCATACACGTGTGCATGCACACATGTGTGTAAGTCTCTCTATGGTTTCTGTTGTTGATTTTTTTTATAAAAGATAGTCCCAATGAAAAAAGTACAAAGGAGTAAAACTTCTCCAAAATCTCACATGCAAGAGCTAACCACTTAATACTGTGGAGAACATTCATTCCAGTTTTCCCTTTTTAAAAAAAATATATTTTTATTGATTTCAGAGAGGAAGGGGGAGGGAGAGAGAGAGATAGAAACATCAATGATAAGAGAGAATCATTGATCGGCTGCCTCCTGCACGCCCCCCCCCCCACCCCGCCACTGGGGATCGAGCCTGCAACCCAGGCATGTGTCCCCCACTGGGAATTGAACCTTGATCTCCTGGTTCATAGGTCGAGACTCAACCACTAAGCCATGCCAGTTTTTCTTTATGCATCCATAGTAAAATGGATTTATGTTCAAATCTACAAAAAAGTCATCATATTGAGAACAGTTTTGCAAACTGCTCATTTATTTTTTTTATCTTTCATTGTCAATGAATGCTCTATTATAATTTGTAATGACTACATGATATTCCTTTGTACACATATGTAATATATTCAACCAGTTCTGTATTGGTGGATTGTTCTAATTTTTCACTATTGTAAACAACTCTGCAATGAACTCCTCTGTACATAAATGTTTTTATATACCTTTGGGTGCTTCCCTTTGGGTACGTACCAAGAAGTGGAATTGTTAGGTATGACTCAAATGTGCCCAGATTAGAAACAGATTATAATTTGTTATATAATGCTAAATTGCTCTTCAAAATGTGGTATCATCAATTTACACCATCACTATGCACACGATTCCCCATTTCAATGCCCACAACAATACTCTATTATAATTCTTTAATTCTTTTTAACATTGTTAATATGATCATAGAAATGGCATTGTGAGGTTTGATTTTTATTTCTTTGATAATTAGAAAGGTTGAAGATGTTTAAATGCCGATTGGTATTTTATTCTTTTGTTCAAATACCTATCCATGGTTTTTGCCTATTTTTCATTTGAAGCATTTTTTTCTTGAAAATTTTATTTTTAAGATTTCTTGAAAGATTTAACAATTCTTTGTTTTTTAAAAGGCTTCAAATATTTTAAGTTTACCATTTGTCCTCAACTTTGTTTTTATTATGTATGCAGTTATTTGAAATTTCTTCTAGTATTTTTAGTTTCATTTTCACATTTCAATTTTGACCCATTTAACATTTCTTTAGCTTTAAGGGGGAATGAGGAGTCAGGAAAGTTCTGTAAAAAGAAGAGTGAGGTAGGTGTGAATGTAGAGTAAACTTTTTTTATTATTTCTAACACGGTTACTTCTAAAACATTTATTAAATGATTTATTTTTACTTCTTTATTTGAAAAGGAAACTTGTAACATATTAAATTCTCATTTTTGGTTTCATTCAGCTTTCTCTTTCAACATCATAGTATTTTAATTACTATAATTTTTATTTTATTAGGCAAGTATACACACATCATTTTTCAATAGGATTTTCTTGACTATTATCACCTGCTATACTTCATGATTAAACTTACAATAATTTGCCAGTTTTTTAAAAGGATTGGAAATTTTATTGGGATTACCTGAATATGTAGATTCATTTAGAAAAACGACATTGGTTCTTTCTATCCAGGAACAATATATTTCTTTCTATTTATTCAAATTTTTTGTCATGACCCTTAATGAAGTTTTATCATTTTTAATAGTCTATTTGTTTATTATTAACTAGAGGCCCAGTGCATGAAATTTGTGCATGGGGGAGGGGAGGTCCCCTCAGCCCAGCCTGCACCCTCTCACAATCCTGGACTGCTGGCTCCTAATCATTCACCTGCCTGCCTGCCTGGTCACCCCTAACTGCCCCCACCCTGCCAGCCTGATCGCCCCTCACTGCCTCTGCATGCCAGCCTGATCACCCCTAACTGCCCCCCCTGCTGGCCTGGTCGCCCCCAACTGCCCCCCTCTGCTGGCCTGGTTGCCCCTAACTGCCCCCTTCTGCTGGCCTGGTCGCCCCCAACTGCCCCCCCTGCTGGCCTGGTTGCCCCCAACTGCCCTGCTTCCCGCCAGCCTGGTCGCCCCTCACAGCCCCCCCCACTGGCCTGGTCACCCCATGCAGCCTGCTTGTTCAGTTGTTTGGTCATCCCTCACTAACCCCCCTGCCGGCCTGGTTGCCCCATGCAGCCTGCTTGTTCAGTTGTTTGGTCATTCCTCACTAAACCCCCCTGCTGGCCTGGTCATAGGCAGCCATCTTGTGAAGATGTGAGGGTTAATTTGCATATCACCTCTTTATTATATAGGATGTGATATATATCTAAATATTGGATTTTGAATCTGTGCCTTTCTTCCATTGTATTCTCTAATTGTTGTTTCTGTCCTTACTGGGTCATCTTATTGTCCATCCAACATTTTTTAGCTGCTTCTGTTTGCTTTCCAGATATACAATGATGTAATCTGACATTGGGTTTGTTAATATTTATATCTGTGAATTTTTTTTCCTAATTACAAGGCTGGAACTTCAGAGCAGTGCTAAGTAAGAGTAGGGATGGTAGGTATACTTGACCCTCTTTTCACCAAGAATCATGATACAGGCCAGCTGTGTTTCCTTCTTCTTAATTCTCTCTAGACATGCCGTGCAGCTCAACGTTACTGCCACCCAGAAGCTCCTGCTCATGGCCAGTCAGATGCCAAAGCTCGAAGCCTTCATACATATCTCTACTGCCTTTTCCAACTGTAACCTGAAGCACATTGATGAAGTCATATATCCATGTCCTGTGGAGCCAAAAAAAATCATCGACTCTATGGAGTAAGTTGGCTCAAATGAGGGGACAGGAGTGAGCAGATTATGTTTGTCTTTGATTCTGTGTTGTCATTCACTGATGAGATAGCAAAGGGGAACACCCTTGAAACAATGTGCTTTGAAATGGTGCTAGCTTTAGCTACCCTGCCCCTGCTAATCCCTCCATCCCCAGGTCTTGTTAAATAGCTTAGTCTTGTTATATCATTTAGGATTGAAAGAGGTACTTGGGGATACTTTACATAGAAGTGGTTTCTCACTTCTTAATAAACTCAGTATTATCACTAAAGAAAATATATTATACTAGAGGTCCTGTGCACAAAATTTGTGCATGGGTAGGGTCCCTAGGCCTGACTGACGATCAGGGCCGATCGGGGCCTTCTGGCTGCCAGCCAGGGCCTTTCTCCATTCCACACAGCCCCCTACTGGTCAGCACATATCATAGAGAGCGATCGAACTCCAGGTCTCCCAGTCGAACTCCCAAGGGGACACTTTGCATATTAGCCTATGAAAGCTCAGAAGACAAGTTTTGGAGATTGACAAGGATTCAACTTGAGGCTTTGCAACTTACTGGCTATGTGATGCCAATCAAGTTCCTTGGCCTCTCTGAGCTTCAGTTCCTTCATTGTAAAATGAGGCTAATAATAGTGCCCATCTTATAGTTGTGGTGATAAACTGATAAACACAAGCAATTATTGTAGTGTTAAGGGGTGGTCAATAGCAGTAATCAAAAGGTTAGTAAAGAAAAATGGAAAGAGAAAAGGATTCCTCCAGATCTGGTAGGAGTCAGTCTCTTGACCTGTTTGGCCAAGATACACTTTCCTTACTTTCCTATTGTGCAGGAGAAATAATATGCAGCATTTTCCCCTTCTTGCCAACTAACGGGAACCACTTTATTCTTAGGACATGACTGCAGTCTCAGAATAAGTATGCTTCTGTTTTCTGCTTCTTTGTTCTTCTGCTCTATTTACTAAGTTTGTCTTGTTCTCCCCCACTTTTTTTTTACTCTGCATAAAAAGTATCAGAGCAGAGAAAATAGACTATTTCACAGTGAATTTGTCAGATTTTAATGTCATATACTACTGTATTTCCGTTTAAGATATACTCTTCAAAAGGAAGCATTAGCTAAATTGAGAGTTCATTCCCTACAGGGCCAACATTTTTATCTCGTGTAGCTCTGAGGATAGATATTTTTACCTGTCATCAAAAATATCCAGGACAAAGAAGAATGAAAGTCCTTTAAAGGACCTGGAGGTGACTTACAGTTGCTAATAAATCATGCTTTGCTTAATTGGTGAAAAGAAAGCTCTCAGAGTGGGGAGTTTGTCGGGATAGATAGAGAAGACACACTGATGCCCTAGGTCAGTGCAGGGAAGTCTAAAGCCTCGGGCATTTTCAGGGTGGAATTGAGTTGTCAGTGAGCTGCCTCCTTAAAGTGCTGTCTCTTGGTGCATATGGTGCTTACATATGGATATGCCAGGAAGGGGACAGACCTCCTTTGATTCCAGACCCTGGCACTGAGAGTCCACACTCAGTTCACTGCTGACCCCTCTGACACCTGAGATTACAGCACAGTCTGAGGCACACAGTAGTCTCTGAGAGTCCCCCAGAAAAAGAGGGAGGCAGCAAACACTCCGCTCAACCACAGCGAGAGATTTCTCCAGGTACTTCCCTGCCTCCCAAACTGTGTCCAGACACTCAGCACCCCTAGATTTCAAAGCAGAGAATACCTTGATTTATCTCAGGTGTTCAGCCTTTCCCCCACTCCCCCACTATATGTCAGCCCATAAAGGCAGGTGATTGCTACATGATTTGTGATCAGACTCTCATCGACACTTGCACAAAATTTATGTTTCTGTCATTTGCTGCTTTCCAAGGAGGATAATTATTTAAATAAATAGGCAGCCAAACAGAACTAGGAATGAAATTATATTTTACCTCAGCAGAATACATTTTGAATGCAATTAAGGAGTTTAGGTATTTTTTAAAACAGGAAAAAAGTCATAACTACCATTTATTAATTCAAAACTTTATATTTGGCACCACCTGTTCAACTGCACCTCTTGGCCCTCCCCTTCCATTTGTGCCACAGTCACACAGAAGTAATCGCTCCTCTAACCAATGGACACAGACACTGGGGTGGTGGGGGCTTGCCAAGGGAATGGCTGGGGGGGAGGGGTCAAGCGGGGAAAAAGGAGACATATGTAAACTTTAGACAATAAATAAAGAAGTAATCGCTTCTCTCACATACCACCTGCCTTTGCTTACTAAGCTCTGTTCCTAAAGAGGACTTCACTTCTGCTTCAGACAGCAAAACTCTCCCCTAGAGTCCCTCAGGCTTCAGTGGCCCCATAGTACCCCATATTCATTCTCAACACTGGTTGCTAATCTGTATTTTCCATTAGACAGGGAAGGACAGTGCCGCAACCTTTTGCAGCAAGGATTCAGAATCTGGAGAAGGGGCCACGCATAAATGGATATACTAGACAAGAAATATAAATTTAGAAGGCATGGGGGAAAGCCAGGCGGAGGCTTCAATCTAGTGGCGAAGCTCGCTGAATCTCCAGACCCATCAGCTTTTTATTTACTGGAATACACATTTCCCCTTTAGCAAAGCAAACAGACATTTCAATGGTAAAGATTGGTAAACAATAAAAGGATTATTCAGCCAGCAACAGGTAATAATATGCAGATTTTCAGCCCTGCTGAATATCAGAGTCCATCAGCCTTCTCACAGACTCCTCGCATCTACATGCTAACCACTTTTTGGTCCTTGCCTCCAGCAGGGCAGGTGTCTGGCTCTTTTTTGCTCTCCAGTGCCAACACAGTAGAGACTCAAATATTTGCTGAATGAATGAAAACTTTTTAAAATATGTTTTTATTAATTTGAGAGAGAGAGAGAGAGAGAGAGAGAGAGAGACATCGATATGAGAGAGAAACATGAAGTGGTTGCCTCCTGTACGCACCCCAATCAGGGACAGAACCTGTAACCTAGGTATGTGTCCTGATCGGGAATCAAACTGGCAACCTTTTGGTGCATGGGATAATCTCAACCAACTGAGCTGCACTGGCTAGGGCATGAATGAAAACTTGTTGTTGTCACTAGATGATGATTGTTCATACTGCTCTGGCTTGCGGTGACAGGGTGGAATGGGTTGATGTTTGTTTGTTTGACAAAAGCAAGAATAGATGACAGAATTTCATAGCAAGTTGATATTTTGGGATGTGAAGTCCTATGTATAAAATAACTATAAGCTCATATATTACCCCTGTTTCTGATTGCCCATTTTTCTTCTTAAACTTCAAATAAAACCTAAGTGTTAAAAGTTTTCAATAACACTTTACGCAATGCCCAGCAACCCATCACCAACTACATCATTGTCCATGACTGTTGCAAGGACTCCTATATCAGATGGAATTTCTTGAAGTTCAATAACATCAAATATCATTAAAGTTATTCTGAATAAATATTAATTCACCTAAATCTAGGCTTGGTTACTTTGTTGATTAATGTATTTATTCTCAGCCTTCTCTGTATTTTAATGGGCCTAAGATTAAAATAAAATTATTTCCCAAGACTTTTAGGTTTCTAATTCCTTGAAAATTTTTACTAACAATAACCCCACAGGGTCTAACAACTGTCCAGCTCATTAAAAAAAAAAAAAAAAGGAACCAGGAATTAGACAAGATCTTAAAGCTGTACTCTGGGCTTTATGATCTCAAAACAATCACCCATATAAATGTGTTAATTAACTAGATGGAATATTTTCACAAGGTATCTATATAAACAAAAAGCCAGTGACCGGAATGCTGTAACAACCAGAATGACCAGTCACTATGACACCCACTGCGGCCAGCAAACCGCCCGAATAGGGAGTGGGGCCAGTGGGCCAATCTCCCATGGCCCCTCCCCGCAGCTGGCCTGCCCCTGATCGGCCTCTCCCACACCAATCGAGGGCAAGGCCAACCGCCCCAGTGGCTCTTCCCAATAGCTGTCCCTGCCCCCTATTGGCCCGCCCCACCCCAATCGGCCCGCAACCCCTCCCCCTGTCCAGCTCCCCCTACCCCAATAGGTGGCAGGGCTGGCCAGCCAACCACTTACAGCCCCTCCCCTCTGGCTGGCCCCACTCCCAATGGGCTCCCACCACCTCAATCAGCCCATGGCCCCTCCCCCAAATCAGCTCCACCCCCGATTGGCCCCCAGACCCCAATCAGGGGCAGGGTCAGCTGGCCAACCATCCATGGCCCCTCCCCCAGGCTGCTGGCCCCAATTGGCCCCCCCATCCCATTTGGGGGTGGGGTCGGCCAGCCCACTGCCCACAGCCTCTCCCCATGGCTGGCCCCACCCTCAATCAGCCCCCGCCACCCTGATTGGCCCGCGGCCCCTCCCCCCAGCCAGCTCCACCCCTAATCAGCCCCCCACACCAATCAGGGGTGAGGCTGACTGGCCAACCATGCATGGCCCCTCCCCCAGCTGCTGACCCCAGACAGGCCCTCCCACACCCATTCGGGGGCAGGGCTGGCTGGCCCACTGCCCACAGCCCCTCCCCATGGCTGGCCCCGCTCCCAATTGGGGGCAGGGCCCACTGGCCAATCACCCTTGGCCCCTCCCCTAGCCAGCCAGCCCTGATTGGGTCCCGATTGGGGTAGGCCCCGCCAGCCAACCTTCCGCTGTCTCCTCCTGACAGGCCTGCCTCCGATCCACCGTTTGGGGCCAGGCCAGCCAGACCCCTGTGCATGAATTCATGCATTGGGCCTCTAGTACAGTGATGGTGAACCTATGACACGCGTGTCAGAGGTGACACGCGAATTCATTTTTTTGGTTGATTTTTCTTTGTTAAATGGCATTTAAATATATAAAATAAATATCAAAAATATAAATCTTTGTTTTACTATGGTTGCAAATATCAAAAAATTTCTATATGTGACACAGCACCAGAGTTAAGTTAGGGTTTTTCAAAATGCTGACACGCCGAGCTCAAAAGGTTCGCCATACATATATAAAATCA